TTGGTTACATTTTTGAAAACACGCTGACGAGGCAAGTCTTAAGAGCTTCACTGCACAATTAAGTCTGTGATCACGTCCTGCGCCAATGCACATTCTTTTGCTTGCTCTACCAAAAGCTCGTGTAATAGTGCTCTTCTGTGTGATATCGAAGGAGGTGGATTCCTCATTAGTCAGTGTTGCTGCGTTTGCTTTGTTTTCTTCCTCTGTTTATTCATGCTGGTGTTGATCTTGGCGATGGGGCAGTCCAGGTCAGCCAGAGCGGGCTGCACTGCGGCGTGTTTGATGTTAAATACTGACTTCTCTTGTTCTGCCCGTTTGGCACATGGTCCTGGCAGTCCCATATAAACAAAATGGAGATAAATCGAACACGGGCGCTTGTGTAGGCTTGTGGGCTGAGCATTAACCGTAAAGAGGGTTCAAATACGGCCTGAGAGAGATTGCTAAATTACTGAAACATGCATGGATGACATATAAATCCTTTCCAGATATATTTTTAATGAGGAAACATAGGCTATGTTCAGACTGCAGGGCTTAATGCTCAATTTAGATTTTTTTATGAAATCCGATGTTTTTGCGAGGTCGTTCACATTTCCAATTAAATGTGTCTTGTATGTGACTCCAGTGTGAACATTAAATGGCCCGAAAGTGTCCCACATGCGCAATGGAGACACGACGACATCAAACGCAGCGAGCGTGCTCTGTGTTTACCACTGTCGGGCAAGTTACTTTAAAACTGTAATGCGTTATTTATTACTTGTTACTGTCATTTCAAAGTAATTCATTACATTACAATATTACTGCATTTAAAATGTAAGGCATTACATTACTACTGCATTACTTTTAAGTTACTCTCACCAAAATAACTGCAAAGATCCTGAATTTTTGCACCGTATATGGACTGAACCAGGACTAAACCAGGTCTAAACAAGAACTAAACCAGGTCTAAACAGCGTGGAGTTCTGCGTCAGTCCTTTCACCCCCAGTTACCTGAAGGTCTACGCGGCCGCGTCTCCGGAGTTTCACCGCTGCTGATATCGCGGTTATTTTAGTGAATTTGTATGAGGAAAAACCCACCACTTCAATCCAGGTTAAAACAGCATTGTAACATGCATTACTCACATTTGTACCGAGTAAAATATTACTATTTTTTCCCCTGTAATGCCTTACATTACTGCGTTACAGCAAAAAGCAATGCATTACTGTAATTCGTTACTTTCAAAAAGTGTTACTCCCAACACTGGTGTTTACGGAAGTTGTTCAAACTTGGACGCGAGCATTGAGCACCTGGAGATTTTAAAGTTCCTCTCGTACAGGAGCCAGAACATGAACATGAACTTGAACATGAACTTACTTGTTTTAAGGAGGAGATTGAGAAGGAGAAGGACGAGGTTTTTGGCTGTGGTGTTTTGTGGGACAGCGGCAGCGACGTCCGCTGAAAGGAACGTGTGGATGTGGAGACGTAGCCAAGAGTGGTGAGTGTGATGTGCTTCGCTTCAGTGACACAGAGTTCATTAACAGTTTTCGCCTACTTCAGCGCAGAATAGAGATGTTTCTGGCTTGTTGATAACGTGTAGGTCGGATGGATGCGCTTTGGCCGTTCAGACTGAAGTCACATGTCAAAAGATCAGATATGTATCTGTTTCAGGAGCACATATCCAAGTGTCCTGGGTCGTATTTGAAAAAATCGGATCTGTGCCGTTCAGACTGTCATTAAAAGATCAGATACAGGTCACATAGAGGCCAAAAAATTTGGGTCACTTCAGGCTGCAGTCTGAACGCAGTCATAAAAACATTGTAGAAAGCTAAAAAAAAAAAGATGTTGCAGAATACCTCGTCTTTATAGGTGTCTTTTATATCTCCATGGAGACTTGAAATCGTTGCTGTGAGTTCCTGCTCTCCATCATGGACACTCCTGCTCAACCACTGCACACACCGCGCTGGAGGGATTCTACATGTATCACTTTGGCGGAATGACCATCAGTTACCATGGAAACACAATGCACACGTTAGGAAACACTTTGAAAAGAAGTGCAGCTCTGAAAACTCAAGAATGGATACAAAATGGATTTAAACAACACATTTTCAGGAGCCTGTGATCGATACGAGCGTTCACGGTTCTGTTTATGACTGACAGCACAAATCATCTCACCCATTGTAGTTTCAACTAAGTCAGATTGTGCTAAAAGTAAAGATCAGATTAAAGTCTAACTTGAGTAGGATGTAACAATAACCAAAATATTGTGATATCGTATTGGCAAAGTTCTCACAATAATATCGTGGACCATCACAATATATCGAATTACAAGTCTCTTTGCTTAAATTAAGAGTTGTGGTGCAGCAATAGTTAAAAAAAGACAGAGGGAACTACATAGACCATGATCCTTTGCTCCATTTCAGTGCAGACTACAAGTTCTAGGCACTTTAAAGTCTTAGTTTTTTGGATTAAGTCTTGCCAAGGCATTTTAAGAGGAACAAGTAGCATATAAGCCACAAAATATCGCAATACATAGATGTATATCGTGAAAATATCGTACCGAGAGATTTGGATATTGTTACATCCCTAATCGTGAACATCCGCACCATATTGTGACCTTTCCCACAATATCGCAATAAATATCGTACCGTGACGATATCGTATCGTGAGACTTGGATATTGTTACACCTAGGGATGGGCATGATGAGTC